GTTTTACTGACTTCCACCTTCTCTTTTGCTAGTAGTTTTTTTTTTTTTTAATCTATTTGTGCTCCTCTTTTCTTTCTTTTTTTTGAGAGAGTTTTACTCTGTTGCCTAGGCTGGAGTGCAGTGGCACAATCTTGGTTCACTGCAACCTCCCCCTCCTAGGTTCAAGCAATTCTCATGCCTCAGCCTCCTGAGTTCTGGGATTACAGGAGCCCACCACTATACCCAACTAATTTTTGTATTTTTTGTAGAGATGGGGTTTTGCCATGTTGGCCAGGCTGGTCTCAAACTCCTGGCCTCAAGTAATCAGCCTGCCTCAGCTTCCAAAAGTGCTGGGATTACAGGTGTGAGCCACTGCGCCTGGCCCATGCCCTCTTCTTCTGATACTCCAGGTAGAAAGCTGAGGCTTTATCTTGCTGTCTCTGCTATAAACCTTTTGCAATTGAAACTGTATGCCACTCCATTATGATCACACTAAGCAGTGAGAGGATGGAGAAACAAAAAAAGCAGCTTGAGTTTCTCACCCTCTTGAGATCACAGCTCCTTTGGTCAGAGAGGAAGATTCTTACTCTCTCTGAGTTTTAGGTTTTGGACAACACCCATTACTCTTGCTTCTATCCCCAGCACAGATTACTTGGGACTGGGGCATGGAAGTACAAAGAAAAGAAATCAGAGGATTTCTATTCTCTTCCAGAGCATCAGATGACTACTTTCCACTCCTTGAGCTATTATGGAACTAGAGGGCTTCTCCCTTACTTCTGTCTCTGCTGATGCACACTTCCAGAATTTGGGCTATGTATAGTTCAGGCTAGGGAATATGAGAAGAAAAAGTTGTAAACTCACTGTCAATCTTGTGGTACTTTAACTCTGGTTCCTCCTCAAACAGCCTGCTCCTACTTACCTTTCAGAGTCAAATACCTACTCTGTACATTCTACCCAAGTTTTAGACCTGCATTCAGTAGAAACAACTAGGTAGAATAGGCTAATTATAGGTTACCTACAAGCTTATCCATCTTTTTACTTAACATTTTTCTATGTGTTTATATATATATTTTTTTCTTTTTTCTTTTATATATATTTTATTATTTTTGTATGTGTTTATATTTAAAGCATGTTTCTTGTTTGCAGCATGCAGTTAATTCTTGCTTTTTTAAAAAAATCAGATCTTACATTCTCTGTTTTTTGTTGTTGTTGTTTGTTTTTTTAAGATGGAGTCTTGCTCTGCAGCCCAGGCTGGAGTGCAGTGGCACAGTCTCAGCTCATTGTGACATCCGCCTCCAGGGTCCTGGTTCAAGCAATTCTCCTGCCTCAGCCTCCCAAGTAACTGGAATTACAGGAATGTGCCACCATGATTAGCTGATTTTTGTATTTTTAGTAGAGATGGGGTTTCACCATGTTGGTCAGGCTGGTCTTAAAGTCCTGACCTCATGATCTGTCAGCCTCAGCCTCCCAAAGTGCTGGGATTACAGGCGTGAACCACTGCAACTGGCCTCTGTCTTTTAATTAGTGCAGTTAGAGCACTTATTTTTAATATAATTATTGATGTGACTGGATTAAAATCTATCATTTGTTTGTAGTTTTGTATTTGTTCTATCTGTTCTTTGTTTTTTCTCTTTCTCTTTTAAATCTTCTTTTGAATTGAGGATTTTTTTGTGATTTCATGTTAGCCCCATAATTAATTTATTATTTCTACTAAAATTTTTAATGTGTATTCTTAGAACTTACAATATACATCTACAATTAGAATTTATTTTCAAATAATATTATGTCACTTCTCATGTAGTGTATGGGTTTTACAACACAAACTGCCAAACCTTCTCTCCCAACATTTGTGCTATTTTTTGTCATGTCTTATTTTTTTATATGCTATTTACATAGTACCTTGATACTATTTGTGCTTTACACAGTGACTTATTTTTTAGAGTAGTTTTTAAAATAAGAAAAAAGTTAATTTTATATTTACTTTCATTTCTTGACATTTCTAGAGGTCTTAGTTTCTTTGTGTACATCCAAGTTTTTGGTTGGTATCGTACTCAATCTGCCTGAAGAATATCTGTTAACATTTCTTGTAGTACAGATCTGGTGGCAATGAATTTTGTTTTGTTTACCTGAAAAAGTCTTTATTTCTCCTGCATTATTGGAAGATATTTTTGCTGAATATAAAATTGTGGGTTGAGAAGTCCCGGACCTTCCTCCGACCTACTATCAGCACTCTAAAGATGTTACTACATTATCTCTGCCTTGTGTGGTTTCTGATGCAAAATTGGTTGTAATTCTTATTTGTGTTTTTCTGTATGCAATGTGTCTTTTTTTCTCTGGCTACATTCAAATATTTGTGTATGTATATATATTTATATACATATATATGTACATATAGTATATACCCATATATTCACATACACATACATACCACAGATACATATACTCTTCCTCGGGGATTCCAGTTACATGTATGTTAGACCATTTGATATTGTCTCACAGCTCTCAGATACTCAATTCTCTCTCTCTCTCTCTCTCTCTCTCTCTCTCTCTCTCTGTGTGTGTGTGTGTGTGTGTGTGTGTGTGTGTAATTTTTTTGTTTGTGTTTCAGCTTGGGTAATTTCTACTGAACAGTTTTCAAGTTCACTAATTTTTTTCTTGGTTGAATTGAATCCACTGATGAGTCCCTTGTGGGTGTTTGTCATCTCCAGAGCCATGTTTTTTATTTCTAAAATTTTCATTTGATTCTTTTTCATAGATTCATTTTCTTTGCTGAAACTACTTATCTGATTACCTTTTCCACTAAGCCTTTGCCATATTAATTTTAGTTATTTTAATGCTTTTTCATATTTCAAGATCTGTATGTTTACTATTTTATCTTTTGATTTTTTTGGCCTTTTTGTATGCCTTGTACATTTTTTTTGTCAAATGTTCAAAATCTTGTGTAGTATAATAAAGACTAAGGCAGAAATGGGCATACTTTTTCTTCTGGTAGATCTTTATTGCGGAGGGTTGAGTTGATCTAATCAGGAGTTAAACTGTGTTTAGATGTTTTTGTTGCTGTGTTTATCCATAGGCTTTCAATTCTTCTAGTATTACGTTGAGTGTTAACGGAGATTTTCTCAATGTTTGTACCACCCTCACCTTTAGGCCTTCCCTTTAATCCTGTGCCTCAGAGAAGGTCTTTCTCCATGTTCTTATCTTTCTTTTAGCAGTAGATTGCTGTTCTTCGTAACTCAGTATTTGATATTTTGATGGTGGTAGGAGAGATGGCATTTTCTGTTGTGATTCAGTTTTAATCTTAGGTAGGCACCATGTCTCTGAGACTTAAGGGTGGGCTCTATTAAGTTATGTTGCCCTATCCCCAGCTGTAGAAGACCTCCATGGTCTGGACCCAGGATGTAATTCTACCCCTACCTCATGCATAGAGAGCTTTCTTTTCTTTCTTCCCCTCAGTTCCATTGGATCTTAACCAGTCCCTAAGGGTGGCAGGATTTGCTTCTTCATCCTCAGAGCCTTAGGGCTTTTGTTCTGCAGGGGAAATAGGGGAGAAGGACCTGGATGGGGATTCATGTCTTTTTTAGGGGAGAGGTTTTTATAAGATTCTTCTTGCTTTTCCTTCTATCGTATGTGTGTATGTGTGCACAGATTTGATGATATTCGTAGAGAAGAATATGCAAGTGGGTGGAAATTATTCTTGTGTCTGTGGTTCACAAGAGTTCTATAGTCTATATTCTCAGGCTAACCAACACTTGGACCTCAGCAACTCACTAAACATTTTAGCTGATTTCTTCTTAACAGCTTACATGGCATCCAATAATATCTGTCCTATGTAAACAAATGCTTGTCTTATATTAGATTTTAGATAAATTTGCCCCCAGATCTTAGCTTTCTGATGTAGTCAAGAGGAAATTTTAGATTATCTGGCTGTTTTTTGTTGTTGTAAGAGTGGGGCCATGCTCTTTTCAGTTTTCTACATCATGAGAAGGGGAATTTCTTGATTTTTCAAAAGGAATCACACTTTTAAAAACACTGAAAAATAAAGAAAAGAGACTGAGCTACCAGAATGGCTTTCACTTATGCCAGGCACAGGGTGAATTCAGGGCTCTGGGCTATTATGGGTCGACTGCCAACCCTTGGATGTGAGCTACATGCACGGGCCCCTGTGTCAGCCTTTGCTCATTTGTCTTCCTACAGTGATGTTGCATGTGATCTACAACAGCCAAGGACAATGGAGGTGGGAGCAAATGTCCTTTATTCTTCACACTCTTCACTGTTAACATCAAGGTAGGTACTCTACCCCCTCCACAGGCTCTGGCACAACATGTCAGGAAGTTCTCTGGGGTGGCTACACCTGTTTCCTCTAAGGGCTTTCAACAGGTTCCTTTCTTTCCTTTTTTTTTTAAAATCATGATAGTTATCCTCTTTTTTTTTTTTTTTTAACCTCTGATCGATACAGTGATGCTATAATTTCCTGGGACAGTGTTAAACTCTGCTGGACAGTGGATGAATATTTTTTGGGTGAATTGACTGCTCTCACTTTGCCCATGGTCCATTGCTAATCCTCCGCTAGTGGTGATGTATGGAAGTGAGGGGCGTCAGCAACATTGAAAGACATCACATTCTAGGAGTGCAATCGTTACAGCAATTCGAGAGAAGTCCTGATTGTACAATGTGTGCATTGATTATGCTATAGCAATCCAAATGCTAAATTTACGTGACGTATAGCCAATTCACATTTTCTTGCATATTCTGGATAAAACGTGTAGTTGAAGTTACTGTAGCACAGTAATAAAGGCACTGGAAGCCAGTATTATGGCTGGCACGATGATGCCGAGTCAGGAGCAAGGTGCCTCGACTCAGAACCCGGCTCTGGAGGAACACCAAGCGCCGATCTCGCCAGCGTGATAGCCGTGCTTCCTTTTAGGGAAGCACCAAGATGGTCCTCCAAGAGTCCTAGAGAGAAATCCAGGGAGTGTATCGGTTGGCCAGTCAGTGTGATGACGCACTTCCGGCGCCGCCGCCTTTTTTTTTTTTGTCGCGCGAGATTTGGTTTGTGAGGTTCGACAAGTAGCAGTCACCATCTCTGCTTGCTGAAAAGCTTCAGAGGTCGCCGGTAACCCACGGTGAGCTTGTCTGAGAAGGACGGGAAACGGCCCGAGGGATGCGGGCACGGCTACTGCTGGTACCGGGGTCCTCTTGTCGATCCCGGGGCTCGGCTCGGTAGCGTCGAGAAGTGGCGCTGGAAGGCCCGCAACGCTGGCCGCAGGCTCTTACTCCCTCGTTTCTCTGTACTCGGGGCAGCCCGCGGCCCACTCAGAATCGGATACGGACACACATTCGGGTGTTAACTTCGAAACCCTCAAAAAGTTTTAACTGTCCACGCTCCAGGACATTCTAGCAACAGAACACACCCCTTGGTCGTTCCACCCGCTTGTCTTTGCCCCGGATGCGGAAACCCCAACCCTACCCCTCGGCTAGTGTACGATTTCAGTTGGTCCCAGAAAATCGGTTGGTGATCAGTTATCTTCGCCTGGCATAGTGTACACCGGTCTTGAAACTTGTTACCTTTGGAGAGCAAAATGTTGAGAAGACTTAAATGTATTCCCTACCTGTCTCCAGGATGTCCCATTTTGGAAAATATGGAGCCCTGCGATTTGGATAGGCTCATATGAATGTTAAATCTAACAGGAGTAATCTATCAATCATGCACCTAATATATGTCCAGTGTTTAACATAGTTTCCTATGCACAGTATTGGAGATGTAGAAAGATTTCTTTACCTCTTGACATTGTTCATTATATTCTTCTCATTACAGTCTTAATTTTTACTCCACTGTCATAATTGTCAAGGTTCATAGGTTAACATTTGATGTCCCTGCCATTAGTCAATTGTGTTGGGAGTGTGATTTGTTTTCCAACGTAGCTTGTTGTTTAGGCTTCAACTCCTATAGTTTTCCCCATAGGAAAACACTTCCATAGGGAGTGTTTTGTGTGTTTTGCAGGGTGACCTCTGTTGTAGTTCCGTTCCCAGATGATTTCCCTTTCACAGATTGTCAGCTGTACAAATCAGACCTTTTTGCTTAAGTCCTTTTGTTTGATATGCTATTCGTATTAAGTATCCATTGTAAGGGACATTTATTGCTGATACAATGACAGTGTCATGTGAATTAGACTCCACAACTACAAGGGTTACCTATTTGCTCAGTAGGAATCACTGCTTTTGTTACCCTTGGAGAGAAACCATCCATGAGTTTAGCAGCATTACTTGTGTAGGTTGACATTGTGTTTTCTTTTAAGGTACTTCTCTTTACACGCATACATATTTCTCCTTCCTGGACTCCCTGTAACTTCCAAGATGCAGTTTCTAGCCTCTCCTGACAGCTGTTTCTCTGACACCTTCAGCTTCCTCTACCTTGCTGAATGACTTTCTGGATTCACTAAGAAGAGTCATTGGAGAGAGGGGCAGTGCACTGGCTGCATAGTCTTTTTGTCGGATGCTGTTGCAGTACCCTAAGACTTAAGGCAAACTGCAGATACGGAGTTGGAATGGAAGTTGTTCTTAAGGTCTATGAGTATGTGCAATTTTATGTGTTTATATGCTTTTTAAATATCTTTGATCCAACTGACGGCAGCTCTTTGTATTTCAGGTGTTGTTTTTAATGCGTAAATATCCATGATTCACTCTTGAAAGGCAAAAGACTTACTTCCTAATGATGAACTAATTAAATGACCCAGAATGAGAATTGGAACTACTTTAGAAATGAAATAGTTTTGTTTCCTTATACTATAATATTAGGAACTTGGAGTATTTGGGACCATTATGAAGTTGATGGATTCTTTTAATATGGTAGTGTTTTCTTTCTCATCACCCACTCCCAACACCTTTATAAAACTGAATATCTTGTATTTAGGGGAAAAATAGTCATAGGGAGACATCACATATTCCTAATCAACTATTTTCAAGGTCTGTTCAACTTTTATTACTTCAGTTGTAGAAACTCTCTTGTTCTAATATTAAGTAGCAGAGGAGGAAGAACATGCTGAGGTCTTACAGTGTTTAATGGATTTCTTCTATATAATTAATACCTACCTGTACTGTAGGGATTTCAGGGATCTTAACTATTTAGAATTCCAACTTTCTTTTCCACCTATAGCATTCTGTTTACTGTCACCCTAGTTTCCTTTTCTGTTTCCTTTCCTGTGATATCTTCTCTGGATTAGCTGAAATGATAGTCTTCTCAGTCCACTTTTTCATCGCTCATTCCTTGGATGATTCTACCTCCTTTCTGCATTTCTCTGTAATTCTACTATTTCCCCTTTGTGAGACTAGAGTTGTCCCTGGTAATAAGCAGTAACTAATGAACAGTTATTTACCTAGTCTTCAAAACAGGATGGGTCAGCGGTTGTATGTAGGACTTATGGTCAATAGAGTTATTGTCATTAATGTTTTTTTCTTTACCTTCAGCACCTGAGTCTTTTACCTTTACCCAAGAAAAGAATAAAAGAGGTCAGACGATGACAACTGTGTCCTCAACAGCCAGGCCCCAGGTAAGCCGGTTTTTTTCTGTCTCTGTACATATCTCTGTGTGTATATACATATATGTTTATTAGATACATACATAAAGATGTCTATATATACACATTTACATAGATATATAAAATACTTTTATATATGCATATATATATATATATATATATATATATATATGTATATATACACACTATATATGCACATTTCTCATTGTGGTTTAATTTCCACAACACAAGTCTTAACAGTATAGCTCACTTTTTGGAACTATGTACGCCTGTATGACCGCACTCAAATAAAGACATAGAACATTATTAGCACCCCAGAAGGCCCCTTCATACTGCTTCCCAAGCAATCCATAGCTCATCCCAAAGTTAACCACTATTCTGACCTCTGTCACCATGGGAAAGTTTTGTTTATTTTTGAATTTCATGTAAGTGGAATCGTTCAACATGTATTCTTTTGTATCTGTCTTCTTTTGCCCAACATTATGTCTGAGAAGTTCACCGACGTTGCACACAGCAGTGATTTGTTCTATTTCACTTCGAGTAGTTTTTGATTTTGTGATAATAGCATATTTTATTTATTCGTTCTACTGTAGGTGGACTTTTGGTTGTTCCCATTTTGGGCTACCATGAATAAGAATGCAGTAAACATTCTTGTCTTTTTGTGGACACAGACCCTCATTTCTCTTGGATATATCTCTGTGAGTAAAATTGATAGCTCATAGGGTATACATTTGGCTAGTTTTAGTAGATGCTGCCCAACAATTTTCTGAAATGATTCTTCCAATTTACATTTCTACCAGCAGTGTACAGTTGCTTCACATCTTTACCAACACTTATTGTCATTCGTTTGGAGTATCCCATTGGGGTTTTAAAAATTTCCTCTTCTCCAGTAAGCAGTGATGCTGAGCACCATTTCATAAGTTTATTGGCATATCCTCTTACGTGAACTCCCTGTTCAGATATTTTTTTGTATTTTTTATTACACTGTACCTTTTTTCTCCCACATTGTATAGTTTCTTATAAGTCCTTTGTCAAATATATGTATTATTAAATAACTTCTCCTAGTCAGTGGCTTGCATTTTCACACTCCTAATGGTATCTTTTAACAAACAGATATTTAATAAAGACCACTGTATCAGTTTGTTTTGCATAAGAAATCTTTTCTTAGTCAAATATCACAAAGATATTCTTCTATGCTTTCTTCTAGAGAATTTATTGTTTTGCCTTTTTACTTAGGTGTGTGATTCATCTCAAATTAAAGGTGTGAGGCATGGATCAAACTTCTTTTTCCTCCCATACATGTATCCAATTGACTCAGGATTATATATTGATCTATCTTTTACCCACTGAATTGCTCTAGTTACTTTGTCATACATTTGAAGAACATATGTGACTGTCTGTTTTTAAAATCCTATTCAGTTCTATTAGTTGAATTTTCTGTCTGAACTAGTATTTCATGACACTCACTATTCATGAGTTACATGGAATTTTGCAACACATTATAACATGGAGGGCTTTTCTTCAAGGTAATTAAAAATACATCAGAAAGATAATTGACAAAACTTTCTTTGGCACCTGGCTCATAGGTTCCATTAATCTCATATTCCATGTTAAGACCATTTCCACTAGAGCTCTATTTCTGAAATACAGACCTCAACTCTAGGGCTTAAAAACTTCCAATAGCCACCTTTTTAGGCCTGTCTTGAGCCTTATGCACCAAGTTGGTCTAGACCCTAGTCTTTCCCAAGTAAGCAGTATTTTCCTATGCCCCTCTAACCTTACTACTTCTGCTTGAAGGTGGCTTGTGGGTGGGAATTCACTGACAGATCGGAGAGCTTTGTGCTTGGGTTAGTGGGCAAAGAGACAGGCAAGAAAGGATTGGAGTGAGGCCGGGCACAGTGGCTCACACCTAATCCTAGCACTTGGGAGGCCAAGGTGGGTGGATCACCTCAGGTCAGGAGTTAGAGACCAGCCTGACGAACATGGAGAAACCCCATCTCTACTATAAATACAAAATTAGCCAGGCATGGTGGTGCGTGCCTGTAATCCCAGTTACTCAGGAGGCTAAGGCAGGAGAATCACTTGAACCTGGGAGGTAGAGGTTGCAGTGAGCCAAGATCATGCCGTTGCACTCCAACCTGGGCAACAAGTGCAAAATTCCATCTCAAAACAAAAAACAAAAGCAAAACGAATGAAGGATTAGAACAAAAGTAGAATTGGGAAATGGAGTAATATGAGTAACCCAAATAATTACTGGGATATATATAAATTGGGGAGGGACTTAGAGCTAAAATGTCAGCTATGTTCAGGCATCAGTTCTCCTACATGTGCACTTCTTTTTTTTTCTTCAACAGAGTCTCGCTCTTGTTGCCCAGGCTGGGGTGCAATGGTGAGATCTCAGCTCACTGCAACCTCCACTTCCTGGGTTTAAGCGATTCTCCTGCCTCAGCCTCCCGAGTAGCTGGGATTAAAGGCATGTGCCACCATGCCTGGCCAATTTTTGTATTTTTAGTAGAGATGGGGTTTCTCCATATTGGTCAGGTTGGTCTCGAACTCTTGACCTCAGGTGATCTGCCTGCCTTGGTTTCCCAAAGTGCTGGGATAACAGGCATGAGCCACTGCGCCTGGCCCTACATGCATACTTTCATGCTCAGGCCCATGCCCACGCCCAGCTCCTGTTCAGCTGGTTCAGTGTCTGTGTTGAGGTCATGTGTTTAGAAGCTCATAGCAGAGGTGTAATTGTAGTTACTGGGAAAGTATGCTGAACTCTGGCTACCTTTAATTCTGCATCTTCCTCCACACCTAAATTTCACACAAAAACTCCGCAGGCACGTGAAGGACCCAGTACTGAATATGTATCATCATAGGTGCCCTTCTCAGGTCTCTCATTGACAGTTTTGACCAGCACCAAAGTACTGAGGTCTGGGAAACTAGGAACTTGTCGTTTCAGGAATCAGTGGCTTTTGATGACGTGGCTGTGTACTTCACTAAGAAGGAATGGGCCATCATGGTGCCTGACCAGAGGGCCTTATACAGGGATGTGATGCTGGAGAACTATGAGGCTGTGGCCTTTGTAGGTAAGGCCTCTCTGCTGCTGGTTTCTGCCTGGGCCCTCAGGTTGAAGGGCTCTTTTATAATTATAAGCTGACCCCAAATAGCAATTTCAGAGGTTGCCAGGTGTGGAAAGCCTTGATGTCTATTGACCTGCAAAGGGCTTGCTTTCTTTTTCTATCATCAAAGCTACCCTCCTTCCCTACCTGCCTTAGAGGTGATTCTGAGTACAGTAGGGCTTGAGCTGTATCTTGATACTCTTAGCCTAGTATTGAACCTCCAAATTATCTTGAGAGATCCCAGCCAGCTACTTTGTCTCCCTCTGGGAGTTACTCCTGTAGCCATTTGTCTTTTTCCCACAGTGGGAGATTTCCATTCTCTGACAAAGCAGGTGAAAATTTTCTTTCCCTTTAAATAGAAATCTGCTTTCCAGGGTATTTCAGGCTTCCTTGGAAGAACTTCCCTGACTCTTCTTCCCAGGATCCCTCCCTGTACCTCTTTAGGGTACCTCTCATATAACCCACCCAGGAATTATCCTCCTCACCTCCCTTGCTTGTCTTGGAGCCATGGGCTTGAGTTTGACCCCCGTGACTATGCTCATTGTTATGTTATGTTTTCTTCCCTTCAAGCAGTGCCACCCACTTCCAAACCAGCTTTGGTCTCTCATCTGGAGCAAGGGAAAGAGCCCTGTTTCACCCAGCCACAGGGAGTCCTAAGCAGGAGCAACTGGAGAGCAGGCTTTATAGGTGAGTTAAGCAAGAGGGATCCTCTCCAGCTTCACCTCTTCCTTTGCCTTCATTTTATCGAAAGGAAAGGTGTGTGTTCTCTGTGCCCAGCATCATGGAGTACATTGGGATCATCAATCACATTCTTTCTGACTGGTGTGGTATTCATTGCTTCTCATCCCTTTAAATTGTAGTGCACAACACCCTGCTTCAGTATTTCACACACGGGGATGCTTTTATCCCTTGGTCATTTGTGATCACTTTTTTTCCAGTTTCTCTAGTTTTGGAAAATTGATAAACTTGGTGCAGTATTATCTTGTCCACTGACCAATAGAACAAGTAGAAAAAATTACCGTCTTTCATCAGAATTAATATGTAAAAATTAATAAAGTTTTTATACTGAAATATTAAGGTAGCTTATAGTTATGATTTTCCTCCCCTCTAGGATACTCGGAACTGAGAAGATATACTTACTTAGCTAAAGCAATGTTATGTGTAATAAAATCAAAAATTCTTCAAAATCATCGATGCTGGGAAGACAGGAGAAAGGCTTAATTCTTGCCATTTAAATACCAGTTTTCTAAGTCAGGAGTTGATGTAAGAGCCCTCTTAAATGATGTCAAATGCACGTTTTCTTTTTCTGTAGACTAGTTTCTGTAGATTTAATGTTTTTCATTCATTAAAATAATTCATTTTGATGTACAAAGCAGGCTCTCATGTCCTTTTTTAAACAGCTTTGTGGAGATATAAATCACAAATCATGCAGTTCATCCATTTAAAGTATTTAATTAAGTGGGATTTAGAATATTCACAGAGTCTTGCAAGCATGCCACAGTCTACTTTTAGATCTTAGAAACCTCTACTGTTAGGAATCATTCACCATACCCATCTCCCAACTCTTGGTTTTAGGAAACTAACTTTCTACTTTTTGTTTCTATAGATTTGCCACTGGCTTTCACTTAACATAATGTTTTCAAGGTTAATCCATTTTGTAACATGTATCAGTACAGTAGTATACAAGTTATAATGCAAATGTATTTTCTCATGTGTGCATACTCTAGATGAGGCGTCCCCAAACTTTTTACACAGGGGGCCAGTTCACTATCCCTCAGACCGTTGGAGGGACGCCACACACTGTGCTCCTCTCACTGACCACCAATGAAAGAGGTATCCCTTCCTGAAGTGCGGCGGGCTGGATAAATGACCTCAGGGGGCTGCATGCGGCCCACGGGCCCTAGTTTGGGGACGCCTGCTCTAGATATATACTTGTTGGGTCATACGGTAACTCTTAGTATAACATTTTGAGGAATGCCAAAACTTTTTCTAAAGTGGCTATACCAATTTACATTCCCTCCAGCAATGTATGAGGGTTCCTAATTCCTCACATCCTCACTAACACTATTGTCTACCTTTTTGGCTGTAGCCATCCTGGTGATGTGAAGTGCTGTCTCATTGTAGTTTTATTTACATTTCTCCAGTGGCTAATGGCATTGAGCATCTTTTTATGTGCTTATTGGCCACTTAATGTGTTCTCTTTGGAGAAATATCTATTCAAACTCTGCATGTTTTATTTAAACTTGGTTATTTTTCCTTTTATTTTTGTGTTTTAAAAGTTCTGACATTTGGATACTAAATCCATATCAGATAATGGCTTACAAACATTTCATCCCATTTTGTGGATTGTCTTTTTACTTTCCTAATATTATCCTTTGAAGCACAACAGTTTTGAATTTTGATGAATTTGTTTTGTATTTTCTACATACAAAATTATGTCATCTGCAAATAGAGATAGTTTTACCTCTTTCTTTCTAATCTGAATGCCTTTTACTTTTTCTCTTGCCTAATTACTCTGGCTAGAACCTTTGGCACAATGTTGGATACAAGTTGCAAGAGTGGACATTCTTGTCTTACTCTTGATCTTAGGGGGAAAGCAGTCAATCTTTTACCATTAAGTATGATGTTAACTATGATTTCTTAGAAATGCTCTTTATCAAGTTATCAAGTGACTAATTTGTTGAGTATTTGTCATGGAAGGGTGTTGGAATTTGTGAAATAATATTCTGTGACTGTTAAATTTGTTTTTATCCTGTATTCTATTAATATGGTATACATTACATTGATTGATTTTTGGTGTGTTGAACCCTACCCTCCATTCCTTGGATAAATCATAGTCGGTGATGTACAATCCTTATATTGCTGATTTCATTGGTTAGTCTTTGGAAAAGACTTGGTGACATTATGATTCATGAGTGAAGTTATTTTGGGTGATGAGTTTGATAAGCGTTCTCCAAATTCAGTATTATGTTCTTTAACAGTTGTATGTATATTTTCCAAGTAAGTTACAGGCTGACAACAGGAATAATATCATACTTTTCTCATTTATAGCATATTTTATGCAGAGTTATTTGATATTTTTTGTTGTTTTTCACTTAATTAAGAAATTATTTCCTAACTTCATGCCTTCCAATTATATCTCCATTCTTTCCCTACCCTATCTGAGTCCTCTGTTTCATGTTCCCATCCTTATTTGTTCTCAGTATTTTTATACTAACATTCATTCCCATAGACCATGACCTTCCCTTTTTGATTCCTCTTTCTTACTACCTTTTCATCTTGAACTCTCTTTGGACTTGAACTCTGATAAAGCTTTCTCTTCCCTGTTGGGATTCAAGACTTTTCCTTGTCTCACCTTATTCCCTAAATGCTCTAAAGAGGTGTGGTGGCTCACATCTACAACCCCTGCTACTTGAACGGCTGTGGTAGGAGGATTGCATGAAGCTAGGAGTTTGAGGCCAGCCTGGGCAACATAGTAAGACCCCCATCTCTAAAAACATAAATTTAGCCTGGTGTTGTGTTACATGCCTGTACTTACAGCTATTCAGGAGGCTGAGGCAGGAGGATTGCTTGAGCCCAGGAGTTCAAGGCTTCATTGGGCTGTGATCACACTACTGTACTCAGTCTTGGGTGACAGAATGAGACCTTGTCTCTTTTTTAAAAAGCATTTTATAAGGACACAAAAGCTGTGTAATAATAGGACATATTAATCTTATTTGCTGATTAGTGCAGGCAAACTATGGCCCATAGGCCAAAATCTGACCTACCACCAGTCTTTTTGTGTATGGTCTGTGAAATAAGTACGGTTGAATTTTTTAGTGGCTGAAGGAAATCAAAAGAAGAAGATTTTGTAACACATGATAATTATGTGAAATTCAAATTTCAGTGTCTGTAAATGAAGTTTTACCGAAATACAGTCATGTTCATTCATTATGTATTGTCTATAGCTGCATTCACATTACAGTGATAGGGTTGAGTATTTGAACAGAAATGTATGGCCTGAAGAGCCTAAAATATTTACTATGTAGCCCTTTGCAAGAAATGTTTGCTAACTTCTGGTATAGTTCCCTCTGGCATTGCTGAGAGAAGTGGTATTTGTATGCATTTCTTCTTTATCAGATGGAAAAATCTGGGCTGAGAATGAGCATTTAACTTCAAATAATTTCTGATAAATACAAATCCTGTGGCATGGTATCAGGTGAATATCTGAGAAGGGGACCTGATATTCAAGATAATCTGCAGATCAGAGGGCAAGTTAGGCATAAAAGAAATTTCACAAGGGATGAAATGAATAAAAATGAGAAAGATTTTGTGAAAGAGATAGTAATGAGAAACATCATATAGAAAATACAAGCCATCCACAAAAGAAATTAGAAAGAAATATTAGTGTTAGAAACACATCTGCAAGGACCAGATACACAGATTTTCTGTAAATCTCATGTTTGAGACAGACGTTGCAGTCTTAGTTCAGACTTTTTTCAACATCAGAAAAACTAAACTGGAGCTCCCCCAAATGCCCTCTCCTCTCCTCTCCTCCTTTCTGTGGTCTTTCCTGGACTTACATAGGCCCTTTGCACTTTGTAAATTTCATACTGCCTTTTATACTCAGTCTTACATGCATTCCTCTCCACTCTGCATTGTTACCTTTCTGTAGATGGCCACAGCACACTTGCTGCTCAATTTTACCCCCTGTGGTGGACAAAAACCCCATGTGTTTTTGTCTGTTGTAGCAAGTTGTCACTTCTCAAGGGCAAGAAGCAATTGATTAGGTGAAAAAACGTCAGGAAATATGAATACATTTCCCCTATGAATATATAGCATGACCATTTGAGTACATTATAAGAATAGCAGAAATGAGTGATTCACTTAACTCAGGAAGAGAGAGATTCAAATAGAAACTGAAGATACTGCTGCCAGAAATGGACTTTTTAGAGAGGTGTTTATGCCTAGGCCTCATAGGAGGCTGTTAACATAGTAGTAAATGGGAACTGGTCTTCAGTTTTACTTTTTCAGGGTTGATTTCATCTGGGGTGCCAAATTCAGTGAATACTAGCCATTGGTTTCATTTGACATTTCACAGGAAACTGAATTGTTAAAAAGTTTGTGGCTGGGCATGGTAGCTCAGGCCTGTAATCCCAGCACTTTGGGAAGCTGAGACAGAAGGATCACTGGAGGCCAGAGGTTCAAGACCAGCTTGGGCAACATAGCAAGACCCTCATCTCTAAAAAAAATTTTTTAAAATTAGATTGGTGTCGTGGCACATACCTGTCCTTGCTACTCAGGAGGCTGAGGCAGGAGGACCACTTGAGCCCAGGAGTTTGAGGCTGCTCTGAGCCGTCATCATGCCTTTGCTCTCCAACTTGAGTGACAGAGCAAGACCTTGTCTCCAAAAAGTCAGTCTGTTATTTTCCGTATGAGGAATTCTTTTCTCGTTTCAAAGGAATAATTTGCTGTCTAGTTTTCATGTGTGTGTCTTTTCTTCCCTCCATAACTGGGTCAAGCAGCTTTATTTATGAAAAGGTATATAAGTCTTTGAGGTTGACTGCTTTCAGATGACATTTTCAGGAATAGAGTGATGAATTACCTCCCTTTCCCTTGTCTCACCTTTGCAAATGTTACCCTTTGTTGTAGGTAAAGGTTATACTTTGCAAAGGTTACCCTTTGTTATAGTCAAAGGTCACTCTTTGTTATAGTGAAAGGCTATGCTTGGCCAGAAGCTACAGTTTAGAAAAATGTAAGTGAGCTAGATGTTGATGACTTTGAGCCAGAATAGTCATAACCTATATAGAGACCATTTTATCCAAGGTTAGAAAGTATGAACTCAGAGCAAGGTCTTGTAGCTGAAAGCAGCATTGCCATTTAGAGAAATGGTCTTGAGGAGACATGCTGTGAGATGAGACAAGAAAGAACCTCAGTTTATGGAGTTCGCAGATTTATTTAAACAGCAAAGAAGTTTGGAAACCCCAGGATGAGGAGCATCAATCCAGGGAGCAAGAAGAAACATCCCTGGAGGGCCAGACTGTGATATTCATGGTCTGAGTGCATTATTGGTAACTACATTGCAGGTGATGGATAATGAATAATGTATCCATGGACTGTTCCTAGATACCTCGCAAAAAGGGAACTTGTTCTTGAGATCTGTTCTTCAGATTGAGAGGTTACCAGGGCAAGAAGAAGAAAGGAGACTAAGTACTCACATGAAATGGTCTCACCCACCTGTATATTAAGCTCATACCAACTGGATTATGTGAATCTCATGTATTTGTAATTAGCAGCCTGCATGGAACTCCTTGTATCTCGGGCATAATGGGTCATCCAGACATAATAGGGAGCTGAAAATATTTAGTGTGATACTGAGGGTTACTCTAAGAA